ATAGAAAGTGGAGTTAAAAGTTTGAAACTTTGAATAATACTATTGAAATATTTATACATAACCTAAGTTAATGTTATATTATACTTAAATCAGTTACAATATCTGAGTTTTAGTAAGCCATAGAGTCAAATTAAGGAAAAGTAGATTATAGAAAAAAATACAGGTTTTTTGTACATGGGCTACTTTATACTCCACATCACAGCTACAAGTTTACCATTTGATTCTATTAGACATATTTATTGCGTTAAAGGAGAGTGTATGTAAACACCTGAATTTATTACAGAAACTAAAACATTGCAAGATAGTAGAAATATTATGTTTAAACTAGTTTGACTTATATTATATACTGTGGATAATATATTATCTATTTATGATTATATCAATATAAGGAAAATGTCTGGAGGACAAGTAGTTATGCTAGGTAATCAGGATGTAAACTACAGTTTAATTTCTGCGGTTCGTGAAGGAAGACTAGAAAGAGCAAGGGAGTTAATCAATTCTTTTGGGCTGTCTTACTCACAAGCATGGTCAGAAGGATATGTTTTACTTTGTGATGCTGTTAAGAATAAACATGCAGCAGTTGCTAAACTACTTTTAACAAGCGGTTCTAAAGTTAACATCAAAAATAGAAACCCTTCTGATACTCCTCTTCATTTCGCTGTTATAAATGGTGATATAGAAATTGTTGAGATGATTCTAGACAAAGGTGCTAATATTGATGCTGAAAATGAATTTGGTAGAACTCCACTTCACGATGCGATTAGAAATAAGAAAATGGAAGTTACTGAACTACTTTTAAAGTATGGAGCTGATGTTAATGCCAGAGACAATGATGGTACAAGTTTACTTCATGTTGCAGTTGAAATGGGATGTTTACAAACTGTTCAGCATCTTTTAAAATATGGAGCTTATGTTAATTGTGTGTGTACTTCAGCATGGAAACAAGGTTATACACCACTGCACTTTGCTGTTGAAAAAGGTAGTAAAGAAGTTATCACGTTGCTTCTAAACCATGGTGCTTGTATTCATTCTTTAACATTGAAGGAAGGATATACGCCACTACATTTTGCTTCTGAACAAGGTAACGAAGAAGCTGTGAAATTATTCTTGAATAGAGGTGCTGATATTAATGCTAGCACAAAGGGTAATTTAACGCCACTTCATATTGCTACCAAAACAGGACGTAAAACAGTTGTAAAACTGCTCTTACAACATGGAGCTAAAGTTGATAATCAGGATAAGGATGGCAAAACCATACTACACCTCGCTGTTGAAACAGGATATTTAACGATTGTTGAGGATGTTTTAAAGTATTGTCCTGATATTAATAATCAAAGTAACAGAAGCTCTCTTAAAATTGCAGTGCACGGCTATGGAGAAAAATACAAAAAGATTGTTGAAGCTCTTCTAGAATATGGTTTTATTGCTAACCCTGAAGATGCAATTGATCCTAAGTTATTGCATGCTGCTATTGAAAAAGGATATTTGAAAATTGTTGGAGACCTATTAAAGTATGGTGCTAATGTTAATACGTTACACAATTCAACATTTAAAGAAGGTTTTACACCTTTACATAGTGCAGCCAAGAATAAACAGGAAGAAGTAGCTAAATTATTAATAAGCTATGAAGCTGATATAAATGCTCAAGATAAAACCGGAAAAACTCCAATATTTTATGCTATTGAGAATGCCGATTTAAAAATTACCAAGCTACTTTTAACTAGTAGAGCTAATGTAAAAGATAGTTCTGAGCTATTGAATATAGCTGTTAAGAAGGAATGCATAGAAATCGTTGAAGCTCTTTTGCAACATG